AAAAGGAAAAGAGAAAATAAATCACCTTTGTCCCCTTTGCACGTTGCTGTGACGTTTAAGTCCTATGCAATAATTTGTAATGACTTCATTTGGAAGTTAAGCAGGGAAATTATTTATTGCAGATCTTGAAACGAAATATTATTTTGGCATGTAACGAAAAATAATCATATTTGTTTTATAATATTTGATGTGACATGAGTGTAATCATATTTCCATTAATAAAGGAATTTCTATTGTATTCCTTTAAAACCTGCAATAGCACAATACATTTAAGTGCCACGTGTTTAAATCAAACTATAAAACACACACTTCATTGTGTGTGATGATACAGTTTAAGCACATTGATTTATAGCTACTGGGAAGGTGAGAGCTGATTCAAGTGGAAGCGAGCTATATTCCTCGCCTATAGAGGTCGCTGTGATATTGCAAAACAGACGTGCACAAGTCACTCCACAGGTTTAGGCCACTCACAGCATTCATGCTCTGGAACAGCTCACTTCGCAGCTCAGTGGGATTCACAAAGGTGGACTAACTGAGGCTGAATATTTTCTCAGATTATACTAAAGTTATTTTATAACAAGCATTCAAAGAACGAAGTGAGTAATTGATTTTCACCAGAACACCACATGAGGAAATTGCATTGGCCCTGGGTAGAACTAAAATCAATTTCATTTGAAAGGAATTTGTGAAAGTGTTATTATATTTTTTTATTTTCCTGTAATTTGCATGCTCCCGCAAATGTATAAAAAAGAGAAAATAAAAGCACAATGGCTGCGTCATTTCCCACCACAGCTAATCATTGCACTTTCCTTTATTTAAACCCCATTAGGCCGTCGTGATAAATCAATATTTGGTTTTGGTCACCGATTGAGGAGCAAAGAAGCAGCTTTTGCAGGCTAATGATCACTATCAGCCTCGGAGCAGACAGGACCCCCCCCAAAAAAACTCACTGACCCACAGGCTCCACAATGTCAGCCTCCCCCTCCTCATCCAAAAAGAGAGAGGGAGGAAAAAAATATTAATAATTTATCTTCGAATCGACTTCTCTCTCTGACAGATTAGATTTTAACCATTTGATTTTGTTTGGACTGGGCGTTCCCATATTATTACTTAATGACCTTCCCAGCTGCTCCTGTCCATTTTCTGTCACCAGCAACCATCTGGACACTTATTAGCACCTCAATGCATCCACGCCGCTTTCCCCCCAAACTTGAATAAAATTAAGCCTGGCTGCAGACTGCCAATACATGTAGTTTGTTTTCTGTCCCATTCCCACCACCCCTGGAAAAAAAACTGAAAAATAAAACAAGCATCGAAAAATAATCGTGATAATAATAATAATGCACACTCTAATGCATTCTCTATAATTTCATTTAGTTTATTAGGCAAAATATACGATCTGGACAAATTCCTTCAACG